TCTGCATAAGTGGCCTTCGGCCGCGCCTTCGTATTACAACCCTAACGAAGTCGAATTCTCCTTTTTGTGTTGCCGGATAATAGCGGCGAAAGTAATTTTGCGTAGAATTTCTTTCTGCGAAAGCGGTCTCGGCCGCGCTTAGGGTTATAACCCTCACTAAGTAGAATTCTCCTTTCTTTGTTGCCAGAAAAGAGAGGCAGAAATATTGCAGGAGATTTTGTCCGCGGGATTTCATCCCGGGGGAATAAGTTCGACTACTACTTTAAAGCAGTGATGGGCAGCGCTGGTAGAACTCCATAAACATGTGCAAAAATTTTGCACTTGCTTGCTTTAGGGCCGGTTGTTCAATGTCTGTTTATCACAGAACATCATTATCGACGATTTCGACGTCATGTATACAACATATGATCAGGTTTTGTATTCGGACCTTCTACCTCCGATTTGTGTTAATCAGACATTGAACAACCGGCCCTTAAAGGGGGAATATCCCTATGTTTATAAAGAGGCACTTAAATTTCTACCAATACTCGCCTCCTCTGTTTCATTGGAAAGGCAACATTTTCAAAAAGTGGTGACTGTTCTCGTATGCATATCAAATTGGCGCCCGAAAATGATAATAAAAACAACAACACTGAGTGTGCTAATAATAATAAATTTATGAAAACACGCGCAAAGTTCAATAATAGAGATGACGGATCGAAACAAAAGATCGATTTTTGAATCGATTCCAATCGAAATAAAAATAATCGATGCTGGAAGAAATCGGCAAAAAATAAATCGATCTCCCAAGATCGATTCATATATTTTATGAAATAACGTCTTTTACTTAATTTTTAGAAAGAAACAAATCATGATGATCTGACTAAACCATCAAAAAAATTTTGATAAACGATAATAATAAAAAGATGTTATGAAAAATAAACAAAAAAAAATCTAAAAAAGGCCACCTTTTATTTTCTTCAAATGTACAGGATTTTCTTAGGAGAAAACAAATTATTTTAATTTTTTCTTTAGAACCTCTAAAATGCTAAAATTTTTAAGATGTCTGGTTGTTCCTTCAATGAGTTTTTCAAATTTTTGACATTTCTTTAAATATACCTTTAAAATTAAATAATTTTGATAAATGGCAATAATACTTAACTTGTTTGAAGAAACAAACAAAAATGTATACTCAAAATAAGAGACGTTTTTCTCCATGGTTACTTATTTTTTCGTATAATTTTCGCGGTTTATGAAGTTGAATGTACGCCTTGACCTAATTGATCAAAAGATTCTGTATCAAATAAATAGTCAAGCGATTCATTAATTTTTCATAAATTTCAAAATAATTTGAGTTCGAATTTAATTTTAAGCTTCCAGTATAGCAACGTTTAAAAATAAAATTGAAAAATTTTTTTTTTTATACGAAACGAAAAGATTCCAATTGAAAATTGAAGCCTCTGGTTGAAGAAGGTGTTGACTCACTAATGGCCCATTTTGCGGTTAGCCATTGGAACTTTGTAGGAGTTGAAAAAAGTTCTAGCACTGAAGTTTCAATCATATGACTTCCTGTATGTACAAATTACACACTTAAACCAAAAAATTCGCAAAAAAGCTGCAATTTTTGAGGAAATGTTTGTTTGCTTTTTATCAAAACACCAACCGAAAATTTTATAGAATATTGTAGAAATAAGTACAAAACCTAAAAATTTGGAGATAAAACGTGTCTTCTTTTGAGAATAAATTTTTGTTCGTTTCTTCGAAAAAGTTAAGTATTATTGTCATTTATCAAAATTATTTAATTTTAAAGGTATATTTAAAAAAATTTCAAAAATTTAAAAAAACTCATTCAAGGAACAACAAGAAATTTTAAAAATTTTGGCACTTAAAAGGTTCTAAAGAAAAAATTTAAATAATTTGTCGAAAAAACAAACAAAATTTGGTCCCTATGGACACCTATAATCTCAGTAAATTTGAGGACAATAAAAGGTGGCCTTTTTGGGAATTTTTTCTTTGTTTTTATTAATAATAATAATAGTAATAAAAATAATAATAATAATAATAATAATAATAGATTGGCGCTTACACATATGTTAGTGTTTGGCCGAGCTTTTCCTCCGATTTGTGGCGTGCGCCTTGATGTTGTCACAAACGGGGGAGGGACCTACAGTTTTACGCCGACTCCGAACGGCGATTGTATTTTTATGAGAAGCTGTTTTTCAAGGCAGAAATATACTTGTAGGTTTGCCATTGCCTGCCAAGGGGCGACCGCTGTTAAGAACAAGTAATTTTTAAGCAAAAAACAAAACCGATTTCAATTCTCATACAAAAATATATATATATATACAATGATCGGATTTAAACCAGATTTGTATGGAACCACCTCTGAGACACTAACCTTTCCGATGCAAAAAGAATTATCGAAATCGGTTAACGTGGTCCAAAGTTATGCTGTAACATACATAAAAAATTCAACAATTTTTATGAGCTCGAGGCCGTATTAAATGCAAATTTATTGTGGAAAAGCAACAATAATTTGAAAATATTGTAGAAGTGATAGCTATTTCGGAAATCACCACATTTCCTCATCAGTCTGAAAGAAGTCTGATGAGAAAATGTGGTGACTTCCGAAATAGCTATCACTTCTACCATTTTTTCAAATTATTGTTGCTTTTCCACAATAAATTTGCACTTAATACGGCCTCGAGCTCATAAAAATTGTTGAATATAATTGTTATAAGGCCATAAAAATAACAAAAACAAATACATAAAAAATTAAAAAAAAAAATATTCCGACAAACTGATAATGTCCTCCTTTTTTAGAAGTCGGTTAAAAAACTTTTTGTCGCCATTTTTTTGCGATGTTGCTTTGACCAGGGCTTGAACCAGGGCCCTGCGGAGTGGAAGCTCGCACTGCTTACCACTACACCACAGCATAATTTTATTGATCAAAACATAAAACATACAAAAAATGGGGACAAATAACCCTAGGAGCATCTAATTAGCTCAAAAATTACGGAAACTACAAGGTTTAAAAACAAAATTTCCCAAAAACTATTATTTTTTGACAAAATCTATTATTTTTTGTAAAAAATGCAAAAGTAATGCTATGGAAATTTAAAAAAATACGTGTTCGTTTATTTTAAAAGCAGTAAAACATATTTTAATCTGAAGTCAATGTTCGATATACCATCGGCTGTCTGCATGATTTGAAATATCGTATCGTACTTATTTTGTATAGTATCGTACTTATTTTGTTCTACGTACATAGTTTTTAGACCGCTTTTTCTCTCTGTTGTTTGAATAAGGTACTAAACTAAGAAATTGCGCTTTTCATTCTGGTCCGCTTAGATTAGAATTTGCATATGTACATTCGGGTTATTTTGGTTCACCCATGTGCGTATAGTTATACATATATTAAAAACTCTAAATTGAATTATTTAATATTCAAAAAATTGCGGTCTTTTATCGCACCCTTGTATGTGTGGGTTTTGTTAACACTTGCTATCGATAGCAATAAAAAAATGTAGAACTTATTTCCAAGTAAGATAAATTACTACAATATTAAGCAGTTGAAAAAGCAGTTAGAAATAAATTACTTTGAAATAAATAAATGCAGCCTTTCGGACACTGCCTTTGAATTTTTTTTAAGCCAAATGCATTTGAAAAGAGGTTAACTTCATATGGAAAGTCGGACAATTGACTTGCTACTTGGAAAAGAAAAAAGGAAGAATTCCAATTACATACTGGAGCTTAGTTGATAAAAACGTACTTATTAAATTGTTCTTAAAATAGTTGATTTTTGACAGGGTACGTATTTACATACCGTTATCATCGAGGCAAAAGGCCTTATTTGACAAATTTTAAATTTTAGATTCGTGTTTACAAGCGAACTACTTTTTAAATTTACGTACGAAATGCTTCCAAAACCGCTCTAAGGACGCCAATTGATTTTGTATTTTTTAAGAAATGGCTTTGAAATTGTCTAGGGGTGTAGCTGGGTGCATTTCGGACAATATGTGTAGTACGTAAAAAAATATTTCATTTAATTTGGCAAGATTACATAGTACTTGCTAAAAATTAGTTGGGGTCCTACTGCACGTATGCATATGTACTAGAAATGTTAATCCCGGGATCCTGGCCTTTTTAAGGTCCAATAATCCCGTGATTCTTGGCAAAAGAGTAAATTTTAAACACATATATCAATCTATTCTCGAAACCATGGGCCAAATATGTATAGTAAAATTGCGTTTTAAGTTTTTCACTCTGACGTCAGTAATTCAAAAATGATTTAAAAAATTTAGAGAAATGTGCTCAAAGAAGACGTATGGGTATCAAATTAAAGAGGAAATCATGAATACTTTAAACAGATTCAATTTTTGGTGCAGAAGGACTGGTAAGTAATTAAATTGTCCTTTTAAAATTTTATCCTTGAAATTTCGCAATATATGTTTTTGAAAAAAATTATATGTTAAGGACTTATATAAACTCGATAACATCCTCGAATTTGGTCCTTCTTACTTTATCAGCTTAAAGAATTACCTATTCATCCTTGAGAATCCAAAAAATTTTAATTTTTTTTTAATTCTAAAGAAATTTGCTCTTGCATTTGGTATCCATATTTTTATTCTAGATTCCATTGAATTTTTTAAATAATTTTGTGAACTAATCACATCTTTGAAATTACAAAGTCCTTTAAAGTAAAGCCTGACGTCAGAGAGAAAAAATAAAAACGCCACCTTAAGTAAAAAGTAGGTTTCAAACCCCTTTATTAATTATTTATTTTATGGTAGGGGAGCTTCTCAAACAATATAGAAGCAATTTTTTCGATTTAAGTTGTTGAAAAGTAATGAATATCTAAATCCCGGGACTAATCCCGGGATCCCGAGATTGTGATAACGACTTCCCGAAAATCCCGGGATCGGACAAAGCTGAAAAATTAACATCCATAATGTTTACATATGCGCATAATACCATATGGACTTATGTTTATATTAAAGTTACATATATAAAAGATGCACCTCCAAAATTCCAAAGTTCGTATCTCTCCTTGCATACTGCGTTTTTGTTGTAGCGTACTCGAGAGCCGGTTGTTGATGGCATTGCCCTGTGAATCCTTGCGCATCGCTTCCATGCGCTTGAAAAGTGACATAATGTGATAGTCGATGTTATGCTCCGACGATATTGTGTGTAAATTTTCATCAGTCATTGCGTAGGCTTTACTTATAAAAATTTTCTTATTTGATCTAACCGTTGAATTAAATCTACATATGTAGATATTTATTTTGATAGTTTCTCTAATTGAGCCTTTACTTCTATGCAAACACAATTTACGGGTTTGCTAATCTTTTGTTAGGTTTTATTTAATTCGGCATTCGCGTACATACAAATTTACATACATACACATCAATTAATCAGTATGGGTATAAAAGCCTGTGCGCACTAAGATCTGTTCGCGGCCTTATGAGCGCGCCGGTCGTAAATTGAATCAAATTCAGCGTTGCCGTTTTCACTCCGATGGGAGTGTTTCACCCCTTTTTTAGGCCGAGCACTATGTCACGCCCTCTCTTGCAAAAACACTCCGATTTTAAGATTATTACCCCTATGCTGTAATCCGTCGTATATTCGATTTTGCTACGAAGCGTAAAATTGGTATGCTGAAATCCGCGTTGTCGTATCGTAATTTCGAAATTCGTAGGCCATCTTCAAAATTCGTAATGTTGCTATGCCTGAATCCGACGTAGCTGTCATTTTTATGTATTTGTCGGAAATTTTGTACGAATAGCAACTTGTTTCGGAACGAAACAAATTGTTTTAAAATATCAATAAAATAAAGTGTGTAAACGCAAAAATATTTATGTAAGTTGAAGTGTGAATAGAAAAAAAAATATTATTAAGTGTTTACAAAATTAACAGAAACGAAGATCACAACAAATCGCTCGCAATACGAAAAACTGGTGGAATGCATGAGCGAAAGGCCGGACATTGGTCGAGGCTTTGTAAAAGGAGCTAAAGAGGATGTGGTGGAATTTTGGGAAAGTGTTCCACGAATTAAAGCGGCACAATGTATAATGAAATGGAGGCCCCTAAAAGGAGGGAGCTTACATTTTATCATTTAAGCTAAATGTTATGCAATTGTTAGCTGTTCATCCTCCTGGGACAAAAGTGCGCCGGCCACTGAATCCTTTGTATTCTACTTAATTAAGGAAAGTCTTTTCAAATAATGATTAAACTAATTTTTTTGTAATATCACTATTTACTTGCGATTATATTTATTTTGATTTGTTTCTGTCAAAGCAGTTGATTAAGAACTTCGAATTTCCCTATGTTAGTTGGCAACGCCGCTCTATAGGCAAAACACGAGTTTTTTTTTCAAAATCGTAGATCTTCGGTTAGAAAAGAGATAATGGAATGAAAATTTTTTTATCGTGAAGATAAATGATCATATAAGGAAAACTATAGAGAAGTTACAACAACAATAACTTAACCCTCAAAATACAGTTCAAAATGTCACTGTTTTTGAAATTTTGGACTTTGGCTCCCATTCTATTTAAAAACACTATATTTAATACACCATTAGCACTGTTTCTGAAAGATTTCTCTTTATTTTATCTTAAGACTCGATTTTTGGGACATTGAAAGCTGTACCCGAGTGTACAGATTGGAAAAAGAAAAGCTCCTTTAAACTCTAATAACTCGTAAACTATCAGCTTTCACAAAAAATTGAATATAACAAAAGTGGTTATACTGGTCGATATCTTTACGAAAGTGCAGCATTTAACCCTTTAATGCAGAGTCTGTCATATATGAGACGCTTTTTAACCCTTTCAAGGCAGAGGTAAAACGGTTCTCAATATGTTTTCAACGTACTTTTTATTTATTTTAATTTTTATTTATTTTTTCATTTTTTATTTTTTTATTTTTTTTTATTTGTCTTTTTTATTGTTATGGAAAAATTTTCTACGATTAATATCTACGTCAACATGAGAAAAAGCACGTTCAAAAGCATATTGAGAACCTTTTTCCTTTGCCTTGAAAGGGTTAAAAAGCGTTTCACATATGACAGACTCTGCATTAAAGGGTTAAATGCTGCACTTTCGAAAGGAATCGACCAGTATAACCATTTTTGTTATATACATTTTTTTGTGAAAGCTGAGTTTACGAGTTATAAGAGTTTAAAGAGAGCTTTTCGTTTTCCAATCTGGCCACTCGGGTACAGCATCCAATGTCCTAAAAATCGAGTCTTAAGATAAAATAAAGAGAAATCCTCAGAAACAATGCTAATGGTGTATTAAGTATAGCGTTATAGCATACCAATTTTCGAATTTTCGGAACGGAGCTACGAATTCGTAACTACGAACTTTCGGATTACAGCATACGGGTGTATTAGAATTAAATACATATTTACTATGAAATGAAAATGAATGGCCATATACCTACTATGTTTATACGTAAGCTATTTGCAAAAAATAATACTAATTTGCAAATACATAACTCATCGTTTATAAAACGGTTAAAAATTCGTATTCAATGTTACCTGATTATAAAGGATCATCGAAATAGAAAATAAACTTTATTCTATATGAACAAATTTCGCTCATACTTTGTATTCAGAAAAATGCGCACAATGAAAGAAGTATTAAAAATCGACGCGAATCCTTATCCACTTCAAATATGCACATTATTATCAGTGTTGCCGCGAATCAATTTTAGTGGTAGCCAAATTCCTTTTAAAAAAGGGCTAAAAAAGAGCTAAAAAAAGTCGTTGTGGCTAAAAATGGTAGCTAAAATTTTTGAATTACATTTACTATATATATAAGTATACACGCAAACATTTTCAGTAAGTAATCGTATAGAAAAACAACCTAGCCAGCAAGAAAACGTACATTTTACGAATATTATGTTTTACGATGGATCTCGATCGGCGAAAAGTTAGAAAAAGGCTCGTAACGATAAAAAAAAAATAAAAGAACGAGGCTTGTAGTAATTTGGTAGCACAAGAAAAAATTTTAATTCTGTTGGAAATTTTTCTTGAACCACAATATTTTATAATATATAATATTCGCATACGAATGCTTTTTCGATCCATTTACAACTGTTCGTAGGCGATCGACAATTTCAAGCGAAAAAGTACTCGAAAACGAATCGTAGACGGCTATCATAAATGACTTTTTAGCCGGTTTTTGTTCGAGAAAATATCCAGTTACGAGCTCGTTTACAATGATTTTGCTGGCTGGGAATGTACTCTGGAAGAAAGCTAATATTTTATCCAACCAAAAACCTTTTTGTGTGAAAGGGGAAATATGCGGAGGACATCAGCTTGCTGGCTCCATCAAATGATTGTACCATCAGGCTCGAAGCTTATAACTTACCAGCATGCTGGTACAATATCCATTTCTTTACAAATAAGGTCCAGAAAAGATCGAAATGATTAGAGCCGAAATTTCATAATTTTTCTACCATTTTGTTAAACATTGTTTTTTTTTATTCACAACTGCAATATCGTGAACTTTAATCTTCCACAAATACGGCTTTGCCTCATGTAGTGCAAGAAATCTCCGTCACAATACTTTTTACTTAGAAAAATTTGCTAATTTCACTATTCACGACACCAGCATGCTTGTACAATCATAAAATTTTCGAATATGAAATTTTTGAAGTCACACTAGCAGCTGGTACAATCACACCGCAAGAACATACACGTTGAATCGACTTCATGGGCCATTTAACAAATTAAGCATATTAAAGGCCGTAGACTTATATATTTTAAACTATAGTTAAATCGTTAATATATAAGTTAACCGCCCTAACACTTTTACAGTATATATGTATAAAAACGTAAGGAACATACAATACATATATGTAACTATATATATCAGTGTTTCTTGGTTTAAAAATCATCTCTTACATAAATGAAAAAAAGTGAGATCAAATTAAGCATATATGTATGTATGTACAACTTTTTCATGCCAAGGAAGAATAAATTCTCCAAAGGGCTAAAAAAAGGGCTAGGGGCAATTTTAAATTTGTGTGGCCAAAAAAGTATGTGGTAGCCAAATCTAGCCACCAAAGGTGTAAAACGGCAACACTGATTATTATACCGAAATTGAATCGGCTATGCAACTGCACACCAGATCCACAATAAAACAAAAAAAATAAAACATTTTATTTTTAAATAATATGATTACTAGAAACGAAAAACATTAATTTTATTATTATTATAATGTACATAAGATTTTCAAAATCTGGTTTTACGTCAGTTAAATCCATTCATAACAGATCTGTTAAATGTTGGTTAGTCAATTGTGAACGGTATTTTGACTTTACGAATTTCATTGTAGAGTACAAAGACTCACAGTTATATTTTAAATCTGGTACTTGTTGCCGGAATTCAAGCAATGGCAAAGCTTTATGTTGCATCTCCAGTGCCTTATCTTTTTTTAATTCCAAAAACTCCAACTCTTCTTCGCTTTTCTTAAAAAGGAGTTTTTCGGATATTGTAATGTCATCCGCAATTATGTCACATAAAAAAGGGTTTATGAAGTATGCAAACGCATATTTATATAATTTCAAATCGGAAAATCTTTTTTCAAAATCTGCTTTTAAATCATGTAGTTTTGCGACATAGGGGTCCAATTTATCCTGTTTGACATGTGCAATATTTTTTTCTAGCCATGGAAAATGATGAAATAACTATTATTTTTTTTGAGATCATGTATAAACAGGCGTAGTTTAGCTTCAAAACTTAAAGTAATTTGCGACAAATAAAAAACATTTTTATTCTCTCCTTGTAGAGACAAATTCAAGTTTTGCAAATGTTCCGATCTCAATTTGCATATGTGTTTATAAAAATAATAAAATGAAAAACCACACAATGGAAAAGAATGTCCACGAAAGAAATATGTATTCTAAAAAGTAAAAAGAGCCAAAATGTTCTAAGCAAAGAGAAAGTAAAAAGAGTGGCACTTTGCTAAGAAAAGCGCCGCATTTGGCTCAAAGAGCCGCCTTTTCCCGACGTTGATATAGGTATTAGACTGACCAGAATAAAATGAAAGTGCTTCTTTTTTGACGCTCTTGACGTTTTAGCTTCCATTATGGCTTAAAAAACTATCCCTTGAAAATTTGGTCCAAAAATATTAACATTTAGAGGTCCCGCGTAGACGTTTTGTGCCTCCGCCTCAAGTGCTTAAAATTACTCTTCCTTAAATCCGTGCGCACACGAAATTCCTCACGAAATTGAAATTTCTAATGTCTTACATTATGTTTTCAAGATCGCTGAATACGTTGGGCAAGACCATTTTTCGAGCCGACCCTTACATTTTGAGATATTACGAAAAAATCTGATTATTTCTTAGAATTTTTTTTGCAATATTTTATCATTAGTAATATTTATAGCCACAAGTTTGACAAACAAAAATCGGCATCGCAGATAATACTACGTTAACTTTTTTGGAGATTTTACGAAAAAATCTTTATACAGGAAAAAAAATTAAAATTGCGCTTTAAAAGTTGACTATTCCTTAGAAAAAATATGTTTTTTTGCTCAGTCTAATTTATACATATATTATAAATGAATTTTATGAAATCACAGTTTGCTCGAAAAGTTACGTTTTTAATTTTGACATTCTGCAACAATATTGTTGGTGGTTTTTATGTTGGATTAACAAGTTTTCTACACTATCGTGTATCTTTATAACACAAATGAGTTCTTCATACTTTGGCCAACGTTATTACTTTGACACTACGGAAAATCCAAAACACTCCACTTTTTGGCTCATTTCACTCCGCTAGAAAATTACAAAACGGCAACGCTGATCAAATTGATCTTTTGATGTACGCCACTTCCACTGCATATTTCAACACAAATACATGACACAATTTCAAATATAAGCAAATTATAACTTTCAAATTGCATACTTGTTTAATAAAATCGCTTTCTTTATTTGCGTTCTAGTTAATATTTTCGAAAAGCTAAACAACGACCACAACGCCGCCAATATTTAATTTACCGCAACACCGAAAACACAACTGCACTAAACCGCGGCCGCATTGCTACAAAACCGCTCTTTAAAATTTCAATTCATCGAACTCAATACAATGCTTCGAAAGTAAAATTTCCAACAAACTCACCACTACCTCCAACGCTTACACCAGCGCTCACAAAAACCACCAGCTACCACCACAAACAAATCGTCAAAGAAACATGTGCATGGAATGATGGAAACTAAAGAAACACCCGATAGTAAAACGAGATTGCCCACGCAGTACAGCAAGTGGAATTCAACCCTGTGTCATATCCGTTCCATTTCATAATCCATTAGGTATGGGAACGAACACATACTACATATGAATGAATGTACATCCATACATACTATATAGATCTGTATATGTACATTTGAATGTGTGTGAGAATAACCCCTGTACTGAACGTAGCTGGTTCAGAACTAGCGATTTCACTAAACTTCGGTGATCATCACTAGTCCCACGCCAATCTACTTTCCCTGTAATCAACGGCGAATTGAAGAAAGGCAAATTCTCTTCCTCTGCATTACCAATCGTCAACCAGGGGCTGGATTCTGTAACTGTGAGTTTTCGAGTGTACACTGAAAATGGTTTAAGCTCCGTGAAGTTGGCACCCGACCTTAATGTATTTTGATAAAATACCTAGAATATGATAGATTTAACTCTCTGGAGGATTGTAGTAAGTTTCTTTTTGTTTGTAGTTGAAAAATAAGTGCGTAATGCGTTTTTTTTTTATTCATATGAAGCTTTTTACAGTTACAGCTTCAATTTTAACGAATTCAGGACCAGAATAGTTTGTAGTTGATTGTAGTTTAAAAAATTTTTTTTTTAGTTGAAAAATAAGTGCGGAATGCGTTTTTTAAAAAATTCATATGAAGCTTTTTGTAGCTACCGCCTAAATTTTAATGAATTCTGGTCCAGAATCGTTTGTAGTTGATTGTCGTTATAAATTTTTTTTTTAGTTGAGAATTAAGAGCGTAATGCGTTTTTTAAAAAATTCAAAGGAAGCTTTTTACAGCTACAGCTGCAATTTGAATGAATTCAGGTCCAGAATCGTTTGTAGTTGATTGTAGTTTAACATTTTTTTTTTTAGTTGAAAAATAAGTGCGTAATGCGTTTTTTTAAAAATTCATATGAAGCTTTTTACAGCTACCGCCTAAATTTTAATGAATTCTGGTCCAGAATCGTTTGTAGTTAATTGTCGTTTTAAATTTTTTTTTAGTTGAGAATTAAGTGCGTAATGCGTTTTTTAAAAAATTCATATGAAGCTTTTTACAACTACAGTTTCAATTTTAATGAATTCAGGTCAAGAATCGTTTGTAGTTGAATGTAGTTTTAAATTTTTTTTTTAGTTGAGAATTAAGTGCGTAATGCGTTTTTTAAAAAATTCATATGAAGCTTTTTACAACTACAGTTTCAATTTTAATGAATTCAGGTCAAGAATCGTTTGTAGTTGAATGTAGTTTTAAATTTTTTTTTTTTAGCTGAAAAATAAGTGCGTAGCACGTTTTTTTTTGTAATTCATATGAAGCTTTTTGCAGCTACCGCCTAAATTTTAATGAATTCTGGCCCAGAATCGTTTGTAGTTGATTGTAGTTTTAAATTATTTTTTTTTTAGTTGAAAAATAAGTGCGTAATGCGTTATTTTAAAAATTCATATGAAGCTTTTTACAGCTACCGCCTAAATTTTAATGAATTCTGGTCCAGAATCGTTTGTAGTTGATTGTAGTTT